TTCGGGAGCGCGGCCAATACCCTCGGCAGCGCGACGGCGCTGGTCAGCGTGTGCATGAGGAAGAAGTCGATCCGATTCTCGCGCCCCGGGCGCCCCGCTGCCGCGGTCAACAATGTGGCCTGCCAGAAACACTCGTCACCTTCTTCTCACACGCGGCATCGAAGGCGGAATCAGTCAGCGATGTATCGAGCGACCACGGGGCGTACAGCCGACGGAGTTCAGCACCCCGGGCGGGGACTCCGTCAATCGGTTGAATGCTGCCCCGCCCATGTCGTGCGCATTGTACGGAGCAGGGGGCAAGCGAAGCGAATCGTAGACTTCGCGGAGGATGGACAACAACGTTGCGCCACTGGAAGGAGCGGCGGAAAGCTCCGGCAAGCCGAGGGGTGACCAGAGAGATCGAGCAAAGTCGGCATCCACGACAGCGCACAGAGCGAGACCTAGCCCAAACGCTCAACGGAAACGCCTGCCATTCTGATGCGGATACACACCTTGGGCAACGACACAGTCTTGACCAATCTCGACGCCGAACTAACCTCCCATCAGTCAGTCTCGAGTCAACGGACGTGCACTCACCCCCACGTGAATAATCGGATGCACGCTGGAAAAGCAAGGAGGAATGAGATGCGAAGACACCACAAGCAATCACTTACGCGCCGCTGAAAAAAAGCTCAGCATCGCAGCGCCGTTCGCGTTCGCTGCCGGGGCTAGCACATAGTCTTCGATCGTCTTCTGAATCCCGAGCGCTTCGATCTTCTTCTCAAAGAAGAGGAGATAGCTCGCGTATGCCCTAGTACCCAATCATCAGCTCGAGGCGTGCCATACACCTGACTCGGCCAACGTACTGTCGCTCGCCCAGTCTCGTCGTCCACGTCTTTGTCAGTGAATATATCGTGCTGGGGACCTAGGGGCCGAGAATGACACTCTCTTCTTTGTAGATTTTCTCCAGGAAAGCCCCAGTCGCACCCAGGTCATACTACTCTGCAACCAAGCTGGCGCAAGATTTCAGCGACTGCGAGGTGCACGAAAGCGCACAGATGAACGCACTGGTGCGCAGTGTGGTTCTGGCGCTTGCGCGAAGATAACAATGATGTTCTCAGCATCCCGTTCTCGAGCAGCTCCTGTGCTAGCAGTGCTCCCGCCTCCCGTCGTCGTGGTGAGTGTTGACGAGACCTTGGCGGAGAGGTTGATGCTTTTAGCTTCTGGTCGTCTAGAATAGACGCAGCCCTTCTTATACCCTCTCCATGGTGGTCATCGGATGCATGGCTGGGAACAACGGCTGGAGAGCGCGATGAATGATGACCCAATCAGCAATGAGCAAGGCCGCCCGCTCAGGTGCCCGCGTTTATTTCCGCTTGCTGTGACTAGAATCCAGGCTCAGATCGTCTCGGATACAAAGCATCCTTCCTTCCAGTGACCCTCCCATGCCGCTTTCGTGCGGCGGTAGGCATCCGGGCACGAACTAGACATAAGCGGAATTGCAAAGGAAGGTTGATAGGTCACCTCATCGTTTCTCCAATTTTTTTCCGTTCTACCGGCGTTGTACTCACATCCACATATATGCCGTCGAGGAAGGGCCTGGTTGTTGAACAGATGACCAGATCCCACGCGCCTATGAAGGCTTCTGGTTCCAGGGTGCGTGATGGTGGCCAGCTCGGGCCAGAAACGCTCAACGCTCGGCTTTATGTTGGCGATGATTTATCGAGTATACGAGTCGCAGTTCGCTTTGATAATCGACAATACTCTCGCGACATGGCATACAACTGTCGTACGGCGTGTCCAAGTCTTCAAGAATTAGTGGGGACATGTGGCGGACGACGAAGGCAGTCACAGCAGCACTGTGACCATCCCGGGCACGTGAGTTGGACTAATCTAACCTCGAATGATAGATTATCACCGTCCGGAGGTTGATTACATACATTTCGGATCTGCTTCAATGAGACCAAACTGTTGCGAGTTGCTGGCAAAGCCTCTAGACTCGCGATATTGAGCAATCAACCCTGCTTAGAAGCTCGCTCGTCAGGACCAGTGACCAATACGAAATATGCAGGCCGTGAGCGTGTAATTTCGAGACATCACCACAACCGGTCCGCAAGTTGCTGACCCCACATAAAGGCTCTGATTCTGGGAACTGAAAACGGAGGATAGATCATCATGTTACACCAACCACTAGGCTCCAATGAAATGCCACTACTCGACAACTGTCTGGATCCCAGCCTGGAGCGATGCGCGTCAGATGACTGATACAGTCCAGGGACAAGTCTGACATACCTTGCGATCCTCGCCACGTTCTCGCAAATCAGGATTCTTGGTGACCCGGCCTGCAATCTTCTCGGCGCCTCCTGTTACGTTGTGCCATTGAGCATCCACAAAGAGCCCGCATGCAGGCAGACAATGCGACTCACCGACGATCTTGTCGCTGAGACCGGCCTTCTTGGCGTGAGTCCCGTTGGCAGAGTCGAGCCCGTCAGAGCCGGATTCTGTCGTGGGGCGCTCGTTATCGGCATCCGTGGAAGGAGGGTTCACATCAGCGTGCTGAGCGCCGATGGCCGATTCGGTACCAGTAGGGGCTAGGTCTTCTCTGTCTTGGACGTTGGTGGTCCGAGTAATCGCATCTTCGTCCGCGTTGTTGGCGTCCGTCTGTCCACCCGTAGCGCAAGCCTGGTCTTGCGCTCCGTCCCGGTCGCGCTGTTCCGCTACATTCGTTTCTTGCAGGCCAGGTCCGCCAGCAATGATCTGGACGCGTTATCGCGGCTCGCGTCGCGGGCCGTCTCTTCCCCGCTGGTCATAGCTGCCGTTGGTCAAGTCGCCTTGACGCTGATCGGCATCCGATCCAGCGCTAAGCGCATCGCGTTCGGTTCCGGATGTCTCGTATGAATCCGTCGCTCCAGACGAGCGCTGGTTTTCTCGTCATCATCATCAGAAGATCGGCGTGCGTCTCGTTTACGTCGGTTCCGTCAGTGCGAGGAACGTCGGCGTTATTGCCAGCCTGTCCGGAAGATGGGTCGGTCTCGTCATTGTTTGTGTCACGGTCCCAGCGCGCTTGTTCTGTAGTCCGGACATCAGTTACACGGACCCGACACGACGACCGACGACCCACCTTTCGCCTCCACCTTGTTGTCGCTTCCACAGCCAGCGTCATTCTGGACGCCCTCAACTCCGCGCCTGGATGAATGTTTGCTCGTTTTCGTTCTTGTAGTTAGACTGCATGGTGTGAAGAAGGGTGTTGTTGAGTTCGACCTGCGCATGGACGTCGCTTTATAGGCATTCCAGCAGCAGTAGTAGCATGGGCAGTGGCACTAAGTAAGCTCATGACTCCGCCGAGGGAGTCGATGAACGCGCAAGTGACGCACACGACTCCAGAACCGGGCGCAGCTCGGGCAATCTCAGCACCCCATCTTTGCTTAGAGCCTGTTTCATGAATGCCGCGCTCGCGATTAGGAAGAGGTAGAATGGAGTGACGTCATTCGTCGAGCTTCAGCCGTCCACCTGGGCGAAGGGACGGCCTTAGAGTCTCACTAGGTGGAGATGAAACGCCTTGCCTGGGGGCCCAGCCTCGAGTGACGCATCGGCCTGTGCGTCCCCGCTCGACATCGCGCATCCACGCCCATTCCAGGACTTCGAGAACACGGTTGGAGATGCTCGCAAGTGAGCATGTACCTGGAGTGGCGACAAAGAAAAGGCCGACGACGTACGATGCAAGTCGGCATCTTGTCGGGCGAGATCGTCGGAGCTGCACGATTTGACTCCAAGGGAGAATCTAGATGAGCGGTGGCTGATCAAGCTGACTGTCGCAGTGTTTTCCCCCATGGCATTTAGTCGTTCGCTCTTTTGTGTGTCATGGCGATCGAGCGTGTGCGCAGCCGTCTTTCCCACGTCTTGCTCATTCCTAGAATGAGCCGCATCGTGTTCGTCGTATTCGAGCGCGAGGATCGGAACGTCGTGCAACCCTGATGCAGTTTTGACTCGCCGCGGCGGCAGGGAGAGCCATCGGCATCAAGAGCGCGCGCGCACGCGCTGTGGCAAGTAGGTTCAGAACGACTGCGGGAGGAATTGTGGAGACAACACGAGTCTAGAAGGGGTTGAGGAGCGCGTGGCTGCTGGAAAGGGCAGGAGTGTGTCGACCCTTATATCGCCGTCAGTCAGACCCGAGTTTGAAGGGAAATAAGATTGCCTCTGTACGAACAGCGGAGCTGCATTTGCTTACAACAGCGGGTATCCATACTCGGGCATCCATTCCTGGATGGAAATTCGCTGTTCTGTTAGTTAGTTGGAATAACAATGGAATTGTCAAGTAAGAGTTGGAGCAAGTTAGTGTCTCAGCTCTTCACGATCACGTGTTACCTTGCTTGGTTGGGCTTCTACGACTAATGCTACATAATCCGGGCCAATATCATAGAAATCGTCCACGCCTACTCTCCTGTATCAGGCTGACAGACTCGAGGTAAGCGGATCAACCACAGCGGGATTCTCATCCGCCTGAAGGACATGGTTTCGGCCTGTTTCGAGAACTGTCATTCCCGGCGACGGCGCTCGTGCTTGAGAGTCCCAACAGCAAGATCATATTGTGGCCGCTCCTAACCCACAAATTTGCTCTGCAGAACTTGAAACTCGAAACTAAGATGCCGTACTCAGAATCTTCATGTGCCATGATCTCTTAGGATGATTAAGATTTATGAACGGGAACTGAAGCCTCAGGTGATCACACGATAAAGAACGATGAATGCACCCTGCAGGCACGTGAGGGCACAGGGCGATTTCATGTGCATCCATGCCGTGGGTGGGTCAGGAGAGACGGCAATGTGAGACAGATGGTGGATCTTAGGTCAGACATCAGGACATCGGCAGGACAGTATGGAATGTGATGTGATTAGGATTCCGAATTTCTACGAGACAGACAGCTGTGAATTCGACTACGACATTGACCGACGACGCACGAGCCTCCTCAGCTTTTTCGTCACGACGCGATGCACAGCAAGCGCAGAGGCGTGGTCCCACTGCTATCCACCGGAGGCGGCGTCGCCCGGCACTTGCTCTTCTGCGGCTTGTGCAGTGGGTTCTGCAGAGCCAGAGCAACTATATCTACGGGCGGAGGCACGACGAACGTGTCCATCGCCTCGACCTCCGTGCGCAGCTCTGGAATGCTCGGCCGGCGCGCCGGATTGGGATCGAAGATCCGGTTCGCGAGCGAGCTGAATGAGGACTCAGGTCGAGCGTCCCCCGCAAGAAGTGCGCGGGGTCCGCGCGGTACGCGCAGTACGTGTCGTCGGACTCGACGGGTGCCTTCCAAAGAAGGCTGCTCGTCATGAGGGCGATGAGGATCACACCCAGAGACCAGCATCCGTCCCGCGAGGGGAGTATGTGTCTCGAGTCTTGTCCATGTTTTCTGCGACACGGGTGAGTCAGGGGCTTCGAATGAGTGGGAAGTCTCAAACACACCAGGACTCGCAAACACAGCAGTCCCTACGCCGAACTGTTTCGACTCTTCAGACCGAGTCGCAACACCAAATCGGCGATTCGGATGTTCTTGCCGTCGGCGTCACACAGGATGTTCCCGGGCTTCAGGTCCCGGTGGAACACACCCTCAGCGTGGCATGTCTCGACGGCATCAAGCACGTCCAAGAACACCCGCTTCGCAACGTCGCACTGCTCGTCACAGTCCTTGTGCTCGATGACGAAGCGGTTCAGGTCCGTGTCGCAGAGCTCCATCACGACAAAGACGTGCTCGCCCTCGACGAAGGCGCGGTGCAAGGCCACGACGCCGGCAGGCCAGAGACCTGTGTGGGTTCTTGAGCTCGTTCTGGAGGTTGTGGTGCTCCTGCGATCCGGGCTCGCCGTTCAAGAGGCACTTGACGGCGTAGTGGATGGGTGCCACGGATGATGCAGTCGATTGGTTGTCCAGAGCCTTGTAGACCTTGGCAAATGAGCCGTGGGCCGAGAAGCTCGACGAGCTTGAGCTTGCCGTTCTCGACAGTGGACCCTGTCAAGTCAGGGAGTCGGGTGTATGGGAGCGGGGCAGGGTGGGATGAGTGGGTGGATGTCATGATGGATGATTTTCAAATGAGGTGCGTTTGGATAGGGCAGGCAATAGAGCTCGTTGCATAAGATATGAAGTTGTGTTGTGGTGGTTGGAAGCAAGATGCGAGGAGGTGCTGGTCTCATCGCCCTTCCCGCCTTATATCCCGCCCATATGTCTCACTGCGCCGATCGAACCACGGCATTGCCGACCTCACACAGTCAAGGATAGGGTGTCCGGATACAATCCAGAGTTTCGATTGAACCTCCTAGGTCCTGGACCCTGAGATGGGTCCTTGTGAATAACCCTCCTTCAGTAACCAGTCCCTGCGCGTTCGGTTCTGGTGCCGCCCCGTTCAGAACGATCGTCCAAAGAATACTGGCGGCCATAGATGAGCTTGAACTATCTGTGAACATAGACCTCGAAAAATATACTGAATCGCACCTTCTGTAGAGACATGGTGCAAGTATCTTAAGCGCTTCCCTCTTCCCTGACACGTAATTTAGTGTTATGACAGACCGTTGATGTCCGTGATGGAAGTTGATTGTAGGCGCCAATCCCTGCCTCTCCCATTACTAGACCCTAGCACGACAAGGCTCTTGATGCTTACAGGGGGCTCGATAGGGGTGAGGAGGTTCCAGACTGCGATTAGAATGCATCCGCCATGTTGAATTAATACGCTATGGAAGCACGGTTTTGTTCCATGACTCTCCTAGATTCGCGCTACATGGTGACACCGTGGAGACAATTCCAATTCATGCGCACTCGAGTAATTAGTGGAATTCAGCCAGCAGGTAGCGACCTTACAACATACGCTCCTGGAGTATGTTACTAAGCGCCACCCAGGTGCTTCCACCGTGACAATATTGACCTCGCTGCTTATTTCGTGTTTTTGAACAATTGATTGTGAGCATTCGATCCGTTTGACCTGCTATTTCTGTGAAAGTAGCTCAATACCGGGAATACCTGCTGCGAGTTTGTTCGCTGGATTGGAACAATCGGATAGATATTTGATAATGGTAGAGCAAGTCCATGTTTCGCGGTGGCTTCTTATGCTAGATGAGTTGAATGACAAACCTCCCATAGTTTTTCGAAGTGGGATGTGCATTGGTTGTTACAAATCGGACAGCGTCTGACCGGCAATATTGCTTTGCATGTTCGAGAGAATAAGTAGACTCGGAACCTTTGTGATAATGGCGCGATGTATGAATCCCCTACCATTCAGTACCCTCCGTTGTGCTTGCCAATGGTTGCCAACTTGCGAGCATAGAGTCACAAGTCCGATCTGATCAGGATTCGAGTAAGTCCTTCCTGGATCACGAGCGGACCCTCCGCTTGGAATGACGCGGAGGTCAGAGATAAGATGGCTGCACAGAATTGACGTCATCTTCTGGTCACCCTTTCCAGGGGCCGCAGGAAAAGTCGGCGATCTGAGTCGTGTCTGAGCGTGGCTGGGAGTCTTAGGCGACGTCAGAGCAATGAGAAACACTGTGATACACACCGCAAGCAAGGACTTGAATCCAGCGTCGAGGATTTGTGTTTGTGCCATGGGCCGCGGGAAAATAATGCCCGTGTCCAGGGGAAGCGACACAAGTCCGCCCGTCTGCTCGACACGTTCCCCCGATTCGACCGCTAAACCTTGATTTGCACATCGAAAGGCCCATCCGCCTCTTATAGTGCTTGGAATCGTGCACTACAAAAAGACACAAACGATGAACATCTCGTCCCCTCATGCACGAATTCAAATAGGATAGCCGCAGCAGGTATCCAGTCAAGAAGTCGACTCGATTGGGTCAAGTGAGAATCCATGATTGCCCTGAACGAGGAGATAAATATTCGGTGAGAGGATACGAGCCTGGTGTGTTGTGTGAAGGGAGCCTGTGTTTTATGTAAGAGACGCGGATCGGTGTTTATCGCAAACAAATTGAAGTGTCGGCTCTTAACGAAACAACTCCATCCCATCAGGCCAGCCCCTCCCAGACAGTGTTCACCCTCGATCCCTTCGAGATGCAGCATCATCTTCAGGTCGCAAAGCTTGCTACGATCTTACCAACATCAGTGCACAGGAGCCCAAGTCCGTGCTTTCCTACACGCGCGGAGCGAAGTGGCACTGACCACAGGTCGACAGAGACGAGGACAGCACAAGATGGACACTGTATTAAGGGTGGCCAAGTGAACGCCAAAACAAAGTCAGTCAGCTTGAACATGTTCTCTGCGCGAAATCTGACGCACCACGAACCCAAATTGACAGGTAGTTCCTCGAGATGAATCGGTCCCGAGATTCTCTAAGCTCCACCGTCATGTCAATTCCTCTATGGTCCGCCGGACTCCGTCCATTCGCATCCCAAACGACAACCCGCGCGATCACACCCAAGGAATGCCCTGGATTGGACATCCCGAAACAGCGCCAGCGTACGTCTCAGATTCGATTCGGAACATCGCGATGCAGGATTTAGCACAATCCACGCGAGGTTCGTTCGGCTTCAAACTTCCAGTGACAGTCGAATCCCCAGCGTAGCCGTCTTCAATGCTCATATGCATACGATCATCACGACTGCAGAGTCGCTTCAAACAAGAACGTCGTCAGGAAGCTTGAGCCGAGGTCGGAGTGCGCAATGGAGTCTTCGGTGAAGGATGACAAGAGAGGACGGAATCGTGACTGCCTATGCGGTCGGCCGCATTGGGAATGTTTCCGTTTGGCCTACTACATCGGGTGGGCGGTCTATTCCTCCTCCTCTGTGCCAGCGACTGTCCTTACGGATGGGATGGTTCCTCCAATGAAGCCCAACTTGGTGTTCTCCTCTGCAGGTGAAGTTGTGTATGCGGTACGTCGTGAGCTTCAAACTCGGTTTGCTACTCATTCACAAATCAGTTGACATGTCTTTCTCCGGCTAAGTAGTCATCAGCAAATCGTATCGAGAACAAATCAAAGCCACCACCTACCGGAGACGTCTACTCCTCAGGGAAATCGCTCGCATCCTCGGATTGGTTATGGGGTCGTTCACGTAACTGGCCTATATAGTCCACTATATGGTGACATTGCGAGGGGATCACAGAAGCCGCACTCGACCAAGTTCTCCGACTTGTTGGTAGCCCTCTTGAGAGCGGCTCGTCCACCCCATTCGTCGCTATTAACGTGGATCCTCGCGGCCATGCTCAAAGGAGTGTGGGTCGTGGCGGTTCAAATTCCACTCCAGGGGTGAAGGGAACTCGACGAAAAGGAACTCTGAGTACGGCAAACGCCGTCACAGCAGCGCGTGCATACGAGGGCTGATATGTTTGGGTTGGAAGCCGGTGATTTCCGGCCACGCTCTTGGGGAATGTGTGGACTCCAATGGTGATCGAGGACATCAACAAGGGAGCCACGTTTTCAATCCACCGGCGATCCCCTCGTAGTATCATCGTATCTTGCAGCCCTCTAAAGTTAAAGCGTCGTCGGAACAAGGAGGGTTGTGGAGGAGAGGCCGTGTGGAGGAGTGCTCTAGTCATAGGATGGTAACCACCAAGTGTGTGCTTTCTTCGAGTTGGTTTCTGTTTGAGCTCCGATAGCATCCTTTCAGTATCATCGGCTCACAGCAAAACGCCCAACTCGATGAAGCGCACGCTTCCAGACACAAAACGAAAACAGTCGATGTGCTATGTCCTCAAGTGCGAGCCCCTTCGATTTGTTCTTCATTATGCCAGTGCATTGTCCTAATGTTGTCCTTTCACCACGGCATCGTGCATAGCGAACGCTCACCCTCCGAAGGTGTTCCGCGAAGAGAAGGGTGCAGATGGTCGTCCGTCGACAAGGCGCTGTATATAACGGACTGCAGCCTGTGGTCCATGAGTTTCTGGAGATCAGTTCTCGTTCAGCCAATCCACCACACGCTTCAGGTCGCTCGCCTGCGCTCCTGTTCCCGTCAGACTTTCGGCTCCCTCCAAGCTCTCGCCATATTCCGTCGAGTCCTCACGCCTCCCTTTCGTATGCGCACAAATCAGTTGGTGTCGTTGCCTCCCCAGATATACGAGCCAAGTTCAGCACAATCGTGTCCGCGATGGTCCTTTCAATTCGTCAATAGCGATACTCGACCCTCGCCTGTGCCCATCTTGCCTCCAGTTGTACCCCATCTCAGCCATGCAATCTGAGTCATCCAGCGCTCAGACGATTTTTCCGTTCACCGCTGACCGAAACGTGGAGGCCCCACACACCCGTCTCATCTCACGAGTGGGAACTGTTTCGGGAGATATTCGAGCAGAGCTCAATGGGACGTACGATTGACCGTGATAATGGCCACATACTGAAGACCGAATGGCGAGTGTCTGCCTGTATCCCGTGTTCCCACTCGAGGTCTAATCACGATTCAGCCGAATAAATGACATACGTGAACGAGCTCTACATTCTTGATGGCCAGAAATATGTTGGCACAGTTTATGGGTGACCGGCCCACGTCTGAAATCGAGGAGTAATTCGAC